CAGACATAGTCCCTCTACACAAGGGAGGGAGCAAAGCATTGGCAAAGAACTATAGACCAGTTGCACTAATGTCCCACATAATAAAAGTACAGTATTTGAGAGAGTGATTAGGAGTCAGGTCACTAGCCTCATGGAAACCAATGACCTCCACAATCCAGGCCAACATGGAATTAGAGCAGGAAGATCGTGCCTCTCACAGCTACTTTACCATTACGACAAAATCCCTGAGGCATTTGAAGAAAAACAGAATGCAGATGTGGTATACACGGACTTTGTAAAGGCATTCGGTAAGTGTGACCATGGAGTGATAGCACACAAAATGAGGTCAATGGGAATAACTGGTAAAGTAGGACACTGGATACTCAGTTTTCTGTCAAACAGAACACAAAGAGTAACAGTCAACCATATAAAATCGAGTTCAAGCGCAGTTAAAAGCTCAGTACCTCAAGGTACAGTCCTTGCAGCAATGCTTTTCCTTATTCTCATATCAGATATAGACTCAAATACAAGGCACAGCTTTGTATCATCCTTTGTAGATGACACAAAAATCAACATGAAAATTACCTCTGCTGAGATATTGAAAAACTACAAGCAGTTATTAACACTTTCGCCCGCCTGGCGAAAAAAAAAGGTTAAAAAGGTTAAAAAAAAAAAGCGGTATGTGCGCGCGGCGTTTTTGTCGCTTAAGCGTCAAAACAAAAATGTGTATACTCTTTTTACTCTCCTGACCTTAGTTCTCGAGCTACGTATTTCATTTTGGTACCAACGTGTTCGCAATAAAATTCTCTAGAAGAACATCAGTAAAAAGGTCACGAAAGGTATAGGGATACCAGCACCAAATAAAAGCCTACGTAGATGACTCGCCGTGAGCGCCCAACAGCAACAAAATGTTTTTACTCTTGGGATTGTTATCACCTCCACACTTATCCTACAGCGTTAATTTTGGTATCAATGGACTCGCAATGAAATTCCTAACACGGTGATATGAATATAAACATAGAATAATGGTCGCGGCCCACCCGCAAGAGTGTGGGAATTGGCGGAACTGTTACCTGGTATCGGTGACGCAACGACACATGTGCGATATGGCGCTTTGAAAGTTTATACTTATTTCACTGTCCTGACATTATTATTCTATATACGTCATTCATTTTTGTGCCAATGTGTTCGCAATAGAATGTTCTATGAGCCCGTAGGTAAAAAAGATCAACAAAGGGTAAGATAGGATAGCGCCAAATATAAAACAACGCTGGAACATATCAGTGAGCGTCAAACACACACGAAATGTTTTTACTGTTGTTATGTTTGTCAAGTTTATACTTGTTGCACACAGTTATTTTTGGTTGTACATTGATCGGAATAAAATACCCTAAACAGACATATGCATATAATAATACATGATATGGGGGAAGCATTACCAGTATAAACGGCTAAAGTCACCCACCTGCAACCCGTTTGGGACAATCATGCACACACACGCTACACCCAAAAAAAAATCTACGAAGGTTCGAGTCTACTTACGGCAGTTTATGTGATACAGTGTTCATTCTGGTATCAAAATACTCGTTTCAGTTTGTAGTTCATGCGATTTTCAGAATCAACTGAATCGCTGGAGGTTCAACATTTGAGTCAGAGTCATCTGACAAAACCGTCTCGTCAAATGGCTGTGTGCCAGACATCTCGGGTTCTGATTCGGTTGCTGCTTCAGCTTGAGGTGTTGAAGTGAACAAAGGCCGCCTCACACCAGATGGTCTAGGAGTTTGCATGGCGTCAGCATAGGCAGGATCTGTGTCATCATTTATGTCTGGAGCGTGCCGCAAGTGTTGAGATACTGTTGCTATTTGAGGCCAATCTTCCGGGTCCCAGAGCAATAGGGCCCAAATTGCCACCTCGTGGAACTGTAGCAATGTTAGCTTTTTTTGGATCAGTTATGTTGCATTTGTACAAAACAAAGGCATTATGCAAAGCCATTTGCAGGAAATAAACGTTATCTTTTTGGTCCACTTGTGAGTTTTCCTGGTAAAATGGTAATACCATTTGATCGAAGTGGGTCCACACCTTTCATGAACTTATTGTACCATGCAGCCTGGTGGTGAGAAAGAGAGCCTCATGGCGCGCAGTTTGAAAAAACCCAAAGTAAATCGGATTAAAATTGAATTTTATACAAATATTTTTTTGAGGACATCATTTTATGTCCACATTGCGGAAGCGGTTAGGCAAACAGGACTCCAGGTAATGTCCTGATCCGCATAAAGTGTTTAATAAAGCTTTTTGACTGGGCAGCAGAAAATAACATGATGTTTAACAGTGATAAATTCCAGGTACTCAGATACAGTAAAAATGAGAACCTTAAAACATAATACAGGGTACAAAAGCAATCAAATTTACCCATAGTAGGAAAGCAACATGTAAAGGATTTGGGAATAATGATGTCTGATGACCTAAATTTTAGGGAGCATAACCAAGCAAATATTGCAGCAGCCAGGAAAATGATAGGATGGATTACAAGAACTTTCAAATCCAGGGATCCACAACGGATGTACTCTTCAAATCACTTGTGTTGTCCCGTCTTGAGTACTGCTCAGTACTCACTTCCCCCTTCAGAGCAGGAGAGATTGCTGAAATAGAGGGAGTACAGAGAACATATACGGGATACATAAACGAGATAAAGCATCTAAATTATTGAGATCGTCTCAAAGCTCTCCGAATGTACTCGCTAGAAAGACGTCGGGAGAAATATCAAACAACACATACTGGTATGTGGAAAATACTGGAGGGCCAGGTCCCAAATCTACTTAGTAAAATAACAACATACTGGAGTGAACGATACAGAAGAAAATGCAGAATGTATAAACATCAGAGGTCCACGGTTGTTCAACATACTCCCAGCGGGCATAAGAAATACTGCCGGAACAACCGTGGACATCTTCTAGAGGAAACTAGATAGTTTCCTCCAAGGAGTGCCGGACCAGCCTGGTTGTGGAGGATATGTGGGCCTGCGGGCCGCTGCAAGCAACAGTCTGGTGGACCAAACTCTCACAAGTCAAGCCTGGCCTCAGGCTGGGCTTGGGGAGCCAGAAGAACTCCCAGAACCCCATCAACCAGGTATCAAGCAGGAGTCAGGGTGGGAGAGGGAAAGAGGGAGACAGGATGGGAGAGGGAAAGAGGGAGTCAGGATGGGAGAGGGAAAGAGGGAGTCAGGATGGGAGAGGGAAAGAGGGAGTCAGGATGGGAGAGGGAAAGAGGGAGTCAGGATGGGAGAGGGAAAGAGGGAGTCAGGATGGGAGAGGGAAAGAGGGAGTCAGGATGGGAGAGGGAAAGAGGGAGTCAGGATGGGAGAGGGAAAGAGGGAGTCAGGATGGGAGAGGGAAAGAGGGAGTCAGGATGGGAGAGGAAAAGAGGGAGTCAGGATGGGAGAGGGAAAGAGGGAGTCAGGATGGGAGAGGGAAAGAGGGAGTCAGGATGGGAGAGGGAAAGAGGGAGTCAGGATGGGAGAGGGAAAGAGGGAGTCAGGGTTGGAGAGGGGAGGGGGAACAGACACCTGGGCACAGCCAAATACCCCTTCTACTACTGTATACAATAAACAAGTGCAACAAGTTTACGTTCTGTGCTGTGATATCCACTACGCAATTTTTTAGCCAATTTAACACTTTCGCACTTTGGGCCCGCAAGCGCCACACTACTCCAGGTGGGGATGGGCGTTAACCAGGAGGGCGAGGGAGCGCGCAGTAATTCTGAAAAGTGTATATTCTTTTCAACTTTGTCACCTCAATTTTCGTCCTAAGATATTAAATTTGGTATCAATGTGTTCGCAATAGAATTCTCTAGAGGTGTAAATGCATATAAACTCCAAAAGCCCGGCTTACCACCCGCAGCAAACAGAGAAAGTGAGAGCAAGTTACCCAGGATCACGCAAGAGCAATAAAATGTGCACATTCTGTTCACTTTGGTCACCTCAATTCTCATCCTAGGTCTTTCATTTTGGTATCATTGTATTTGCAATAGAATTCTCTAGAGGCGTAAATGCATCTAAACTCTAAAAGCCCGGCATACCACCCACAGCAAACAGAGAAAGTGACAGTGCATTACCTCCGTGAGGGCTAATCAAGAGCAATAAAATGGTATACTCCTTTCAACTTTGTTACCTCAATTCTGGGCCTAGGTCTTTCATTTTGGTATCACTGTGTTCGCAATGAAAATCTCTACAGGAGTATATACATATAATGTCCCGCAAATAAGATGAAAGTGGGCCAAGGTTACCAGAAAGAGCGCTGTGCCACAGGGGGCGCCACCCCCAAGGCTCCTCTCCTTACATTAGAGAGCACGGTAATACTGAAAAGTGTATACTCTTTTCTACTTTGTCATCTCAATTCTCGTCCTAGGTTTTTCAAATTGATATCAATGTGTTTGCAATAGAATTCTCTACAGAACTAAATGCATATGAAGCCCAAAAGCCCAGCGAGAAAGTGAGAGCGTGTTACCCGGGTGCGCACAAGTGCAACAAAATGTGTACACTCTCTTCACTTTGGGCATCTAAATTCTCGACCTAGGTCTTTCATTTTGGTATCAGTGTGTTTGCAATAGAATTTCCTACAGGATTATATGCATATATATAAAGTCCAAAAGCCAGGCGTACCACCCTCAGCAAACAGAGAAAGTGACGGAGTGTTACCCCAGTGAGTGCTAATAAAGAGCAATAAAATGGTATTCACTTTTCAACTTTCTTACCTCAATTCTGGTCCTAGGTCTTTCATTTTGGTATCATTGTGTTTGCAAAGAAATGCCCTATAAGAGTATATGCATATAATGTCCAAAACCGCAGCGCGCCCCTCCCAAAGCTGCCTCCAATTTGCCGCCGAAAACGATGCAATGCTGCGTCATTCGTGGAATTCCATCTAATAAAACGACGACGCAATGCTGCGTCGTTCGTGGGCAAAAGTGTTCAAATTGGATGGATTAATAAGCTTGATCACAACTTAAAACAAAATGTAAAACCTTACCATGAGCGACAGTGATGCAGGAACCAATTCATATAAATTAAAAAACAGCTGAACTGTGGACACATCCAGAAATGTCGGTCTCCATGATGTAGGAATATGAACTGTGTCCAGATCATCACGGCTTTCATCAACCGTCTCATAAAAACTGTAAGTCAGGCAGTTTAGAGCTGAAATTATACAAACAAAACTAAATATTATTTACTGTTAATTACATTAATAAACACACAGAAATCACACATCAACGTTACATATATATCAATGAGAAAATCCACCAGGGCTGTGAAGTGGGCACGAACATATAACCCCAGCATTGCCAGTTGGGTACTCTACTACTAAATCAAGTTAACCCTTAAACCGCGCAAATCACATATATATGATTTCAGTGACAAAACTGAAACCGCGCACATCATATAAATATATATATATATGATTTCATGTCTAGTGCTATAATTTAAACACCCTGCCTGGGATAGGGGCAGCTATAGTACAGCCACGACCGATAGTTGCCAGATGCCACTAGAAAAAAAATCCAGGCCAACATTCTTGGGTGGTAGAGCATCAGTATTGAACAAGCCACTAAGGCTGGCACACGCAGCACGAGCTCACAGCACCACTGTTCAGCTTTTGACCACAGCATCGCCTACAAATGTCAAAATATACATGATACTGCTATTATTTAGCGATGATAGTATTATAGAAGACCCCCTGACTGTGATAAAACTGACCAGGATTCTGATAATAGTAGGATTCTGGTGATATTTAGTGCTGTGCTCCATGGAGGGAGGAGTAATGCTGTGGGAGGGAGGGTTGTGGCGTCGTCTTCTGATTGTGTGTGGCCACCACTTATTGACTGCACTCACCATACCAGCTTAGTGGTTCGCTATGGTGAACACAAATGTAGATACTTATATATAACGTGTGTATAGAGTGTAATAACAGCAAGAGGAGTAGGTTGGGAGCCGCCATTTTGGTGAGGGAGATGCGTCGTCTGCACGACTTGTCATGTTGTTTACTGGTGGCCACTATGGTCTTTGGGCACCATACCAGCTTATTTGTACAGGTATGGTGAATAAAATAGGTAGATACTTATATATAATGTGTGTATATAGTGTAATAACACCACAAACAATATTGTTAGAGGAGAAATATTAGCACGTCTGGCCTTGAGGGCGGCCACCACCAGCTGACTGTGTGAGAAGCTACGTCTTTGTGCCTTTACTCACCATACAAGCTTAGATGTACAGTTATGGTGAACAATACATGTAAATACTTATATATAACGTCTGTGTATAGTGAATAAAGGCAAAAACAGTATTGTGGGAGGAGAATGAGGGCGAGTGAGGTGTTGTTGAGGGAGGGAGTGGCAGCGAGTGGCTGGCTGGTGTGTGGCGGTCACTCCTCGTTGCTTTTTGACTCACAATACCAACTTAGTAGTTCGTTATGGTGAACAAAACATGCAGATACTTATATATAACCTGTGTGTATATAGTGTAATAACAGCAAAACTATTTGTTTATTGTTTTTTGAATGTAGTAAAAGTGTTATATATTATCGTACCGGATGGATGCTCGCTTGACTGTTTTGTTTGGATGCTCGCTTGACTTGTTTGTATCGTCAGATCAGCTGTGTTGTGCTTGTGTACAGGTTTGTGTAATGTTAACTTCTAGTTTAATTTCTGTATATTCTAGCTATAGACATGTGCAGTTGGCTTATTGTTATAGTAAATAGACAGTGCTTAAACTGTGTTTTAAGTAGAGTGTATTAATGGCTTGTGTTATTGCAGGATGTAACTGTACTGTTATTATTCGATCAATAAAGCCACATATCTGGCGACGCTTCTCATTCACCTCAATGAACAACTTAATTGAATCACTAATATGCACACCATAATTTTGAGTACAGCGATGGTTCACGCATTTTATTATATAAATATATCACAATTCACTCCATTGAATAATATTACTGCAAAAAAACCAGCGTTGAATGTAATGAAACGCCATTTTCTGGGTGAGCCCCGGAGGCTCCCTGGAGCTTATCGGGCTAATGTATGTTATGTTAGACCGGGACATTAGCTAAGGAGTTCAGACCTACCAGGGACCAGCGCCAGAACCTGGCCCCTTCAGAGAGGTTTCAGGGAGCAATGGCCCTGGAAAACCCCATATGGTTGGGGGTTTTCCTTATCTGCCATCGACCGGGGTTAGGCACCCAGAAAGGTAGGCGTAACAAAACAAACCCCACATGGTAAGAAACTACAACAAAAACCGAACAGAGAGGTAGAAAACTCCCTACAATCCCAAGGAAACTAGCAAACAAGCAAACATCACACTTTACTGCCGCGCTGATCGTCCGCGCAGCCCTCCCCACCCCGGGAGGGGGAGGGGGGAGCCCCGGACCTACCGCGCCGGCTGCCAAGCTCCAGTTCGGAAGCTAAGCTTCAACCAACACGAAAAAAAACGCCGACCGGTGGGAGGGAGGGTTTTCAGGGAGCCTCCGGGGCTCACCCAGAAAATGGCGTTTCATTACATTCAACGCTGGTTTTCTGTGGGGAGCCCCTACGGCTCCCTGGAGCTTCATACCCAAAGAGAAGGAAAAGAAAGGGCTAGCCCGGGAGGCGGCCGCCACAAACTCTGCAACGCAAAGCCAAGACAACCGGTCGCAAACCTGCGACCCAAGGCAACAAGAACGCCCAAGAACAGACGCACATATGGATGGGCGGCCAAAAACCTGTGCGACCCACAAATCCCTGTGCCCGAAATGAGCCCGAGACGTCACCAACACAGCAGCAAAAGCTGCAAACGTCTGAACAGCACGGGCGCAAAGACAGACCGCAGGCTGGAAGAAGGAAAACACTGCGGACGACCCGGGAGACCCGAGCCCTGAAAACAGGGAACGAAGGACCCGGATCAACCACAGCGCATCCCCAGACACGGTACGCCGGCAACAGCAAAAAGCACAACCGGACAACACAGGACGCACCCCCCCGGCCAAACCAATCAAGCACCAATACCCCAAGAACCCCTCCGGAAACCAGCCGTCTCGACCGTCGCCAGGACGGAGAATGGCTGCACACGTACAAATCTACAGCCAGTACCAAGGAGCAGAAACCTGAACCGAAGGGGCTACCACAACCTGAGGAGAAGAAGATGGCACCCTGATTAAGGACCAGGACGGCGCAGGCGACGCATGAGTAGGCCGGAGGTGAAACAAAACACGAGAAAACGTACGAAACGGGGCAGATGTGACGTCCACCCCGAACGCAAGCTGGAGCGGCTCCGCCAGCGCCGCATAAAATGAGGCAACAGTAAGAAAACATCAAATAACTGTAGTCCAGAAAAACCCAAGAAAAGACAAGACAACCCGATGCGAAAGAGAAGACAACGTACAAAGAGCAAGAAAAAGTGCATGGAAACACCAGGAACATCATACTGTCGCCAAGACGAAGCTCGCAGGTGGGTCACCATCAACAAGGCAACCTGAACACCACAGAGATGGTGATACCCATGTCAAAATACCAGATGCGAAGAGCCGAGGAGAAGGCCGAACCAGTCACGTACAGGACCGATCCGACCTGCCGAAAGAGGCGGAGCCGCGGGAAAACGCCCCGGGTTCGGACACCTATCAAGCAGCGTCTGAAAAGAAGCTGGGCCGGCCACCAAGGAACCATAAGAACTGCTCTCGAGGGAATGGGCTGCAACCGAGCCAGAACCCGAAGCAACAGCTGGACCGGGAGAAAAGGAACAGGTACCCCTACCTCGACCAGTCCTGCCGAAAAGCATCCAACGTAAACGCCTCACAGGCAGGTAAGGGCGCCACATAAAATGGGCAACGCCTAGACCACGCCGACTCGAAGAATGTCCATGGCGAGGAGACCATACGTCCAGCAGAGCCAACGAAACGAGTCGGCCGAGTCGGCGACAACTGGCCAATCCGCAAACAGAGGAATGAACCGAGACAGTTGTCCGCCAGGACGCAGGACACACCCCGGACATGAAACTCACGGTTAGCCAAACCCCGAGAATCCAGCAAACAAGCCACTCCAAGGAACCAACCCCAAAGGTCAAACACCTAAGAGAAACCCTGTGGTTCCGGCAAGAACCGCCAGAGAACAGTCCGAATGGAGCTGAATGGTAGAGCACCGAGTAACCCAAACCCTCCGAAGCGCAAACCAGACAGCCACAAACTCCCGAACTGTGCTGTGAGCCCAACGGACGGACAGACTCCACCATCCCCAGCCGACCTGGTGAGCAATGGTCACAAAGCCCCAGCCGAGAGATGACCCGTCCGTGAACACATCGAGCGAAGGCTCGGGGAGGTGCCAAGGCACGGAACCCCGAAAACCCAAAAGAGGAAGCTGGTGACGCAGCACCAACACAAGTTCCCCAGAGGAACGACCCCAATGATTGCAAGAGGCGGAAGGGGAGTCTCCGAAGGAACCAAACAGACGCCGAAGCCAAACCCGACCCCGCGGGCAGACCAGCACATCAAAGTTCAGATTCCCGCACAACCGCTCGAGCAACCCGGGACCCCCTCATGCACAGCCGAAGGCGGGACCACAGCCGCAGTAACACTTCTGAAGAGAAAGACAAGGAGTGGCCAAATAGCCCTAATCAAGGCCCAGGTCCGAACCCAGGACGGAAACAGATGGAATGGCCTCCAGATCACCAGGAAACCAAACCAGGCGATCTGGAAAGAACCACACCCCTGGCGAGCAGACAAGCGGACCAACTGGGAGCCCACACCAGCCAGTCTTCGAGGTAGGCCAGACACCGAATCTCAAGCAGACTCAGACAGGGCACCAAGATCCGGTAAAGATGCAAAAATACACCAATTGCCAATAATTGACCTGGAAGTCTAGGGCCACCATCCAGGCACCCGGCCGCAACAGAAGCCGGACAGGAGACGACAGCCCTCCGAGGAGGGCATAGAAACCAGGGTGCAGAAGAACCGCAGATTCAAAGGCCCATGTCTGCAAAGAGCAGACGGGAACCCCAGAAGGATGGGGCGGATCGACCACGCCCAACGCACCCACCAAGATGACATGACGAAGCGCAGGGGAAGAAGCCCACCCCGCCAGCTCTGAACCCCCCAAATGGGGAGAAGCCATCCACCGCCGCCACCAGAGGCTGTTAGACGACCAAAAGCGCCCACCAACAGCAGGACCATACGAGAATCAACAGAGCAAGCTGGTCCCCCAG